GTCCCTGTGCTTTGCTAAGCTTGTTCTAAGTAGGTGCTTTAGACCACTGAGCCATCTCACCAGCCCCATAATTTTAGTTCTTAAGCTGTTTTGTGATCAAGTAGATAGATTTTATATATGATGTAAGGTCAGAGTCCAGCTTCATTCCTTTTTGTTTTTTTTTGAAGGAATGAAAGATTTATTTAGCTCACAGTTACTGGAGGTTTCAGTCCATACTCAGTTGGCTCCAAGGCAGCCTGGTACATGGCAGAGAGCAACCTTTCATGGTCGCAGCAAAAAGCAAGAGTGCAAGGGAGGGGTAGCAGCAGCTCAAGCAGCTAACTTCTCTTCCTTTATTACATTGAAATGCAAATTACCTGCCCCAGGGCAGGTGCAGCATCCACACCCACAACAATCAATCACAAACTCCAGAAGCTGCCCCAAGACTGCATAAGACTTTGGGAGGACAACTGTACACCATAAAACTCCACCCCTGGACCCCCAAACACTCATGCACGTCCCTTTATGCAAAAGCCAATCTAGTCCATCTCTAAGAGTTGCTGAAGTCCCAACAGTTTTAGTGTTACTGCCAAGTCCAAGTTCCAAGTCCCCTCCAAGATCCAAGGCAAACTCTCAACTGCTAGCCCCTGTACAAATGAAAAGTTAAACAGTTCCAACATTCAAAGGCACAAGATAAACATTACCATTCCAAAATGTACACACAGCAGGATACCAAGCATTGGGACCAACATAAGTCCAAAAACTAGCAGGGCAGATATTAAATCCTGCAGTTGCATGTGGAATATCTGAAGCAATCTGTGATGAGTTGTGAGCTCCAAAGGTCTTACATGGCTCTGCCCCTAAGGCACTCATGGTGGTAGTTCCAATGGCATCTCTCCTAAGCTGGCTTTGCTCCCTCCTTGCAGTTTCCCTTAGATGATCCACGTTCCTGGCTTTTCTAAACTTCTGGGGTTTCAATGGAATAGGCTTCTCACTCACAGCTTCACATACTGCCCTCTCAGAGGCACACCACCTGGCCTCACAGGCCTTCTTCTGAAATCGAGGTGGAAGCCTTCTTAACCTCAGAACTCCTGCATTCTGCATGCGCCTAAAACCAATACCACGTGGATGATGCCAAGGTCTGCTGCCAGCTGGAGCAGTAGCCAGGCTTCTTTCTCTCTCTTCACTGTAGTGGTCGAGTGCCTGGATCACTGAGCACTCTGACCCTGATTCTGAAGAATAAATTCTCTATGCCAGTGCCATTCTGGAACCTGGGGCTCTGCGGCTTTCCCCTCAAGGCAAAGTCCCTGACCTTTGCAGTTCTGAGGCTGCAAAGGGTGGAGACCTGCCTCCTCCTGTGAGGCCCTCAGGCCATCCTTTCCATTCTCTTGTTCCTTCCGGGCAATGGAGATCCTCTCAGCTCCATCTTTGCAGTCCACAGCCTTATTGGAGCTTCCTTTCTGGCCAAATTCACATTTTAAGTCTTCCCACTGGGCTTCTTGTTCTTCATTTTCAACATATATCTGGCTTAAAGCCCCCAGTTACAACCATGCCACCACCTCAATATTTGGCTGCTTTGAAATATCGTTTGAAAGATTAGTCAGTCCACCATGCTTAAACTCACTCTCAGGCAAAGTTTCTGGACACAAACAAAATGCAGACAACGTTTCTGCCAAGTCAAAATACAAATGATCCAGGGTCCAACAACCAATGCAGTCCTTCTTCCCAGCAGAAACCTCCCCAGCCTGGTCTTCACAGGCTGGCTTTCCATCAGCCTTCTGGTCTTCTAAGCTCTGGCCAGAGTCTCCCACACAGTACAGCTGAAGCTGTTCCAGCTCATTGGAAGTGGGCAGCATCTCCAACCTTTCCTATCTCTTCCCAAAAGCCATTCCCAAAAGCTTCTAATCCACATGGTTAGGCTGAGATACAGCAATTACTCCACTCCTGGTACCAAATTCTGTCTTAGGTACTTTTCTCTCATTTCTGGGACAAATACCCAACACCCAAATTGAAGGAAGGAAAGGTTTATTTAGCTCACAGTTTCCAGGAGTTTCAGTCCAAGGCAGCCTGGCACATGGCAAAGAGCAACCTTTCATGGTGGCAGCAAAGAGCAAGAGCCCAGCTTCATTCTTTTGCAGGTAGATATCTAGTTTTATTAGCATGATGTATTAAAAAGAGTGGGCTTTCCCCATTGTATTATATTGGTACGATTATCAAACATCAACTGATTGCATTGTCTTAAGATTTATTTCTGGGGCTGGGGAGATGGCTCAGTAGGATAAGCGCTTGACTGGCAAAGCCATGGATCTGAGTTCAATCCCTGGTTCCACAAAAAAAAAAAAAAAAAAAAAAAAAAAGATTTCTTCTGGCTTGTGTAGTCCAGGGGCCTGTATGGCTTCCTCGCCTTATGGCTGACTCACATTCCATCGTGTACATAGCACATTTACTTCTCTATTCATTGTTATTATTATTTTGTGTAATCTAAGTCAAGCTTTTTATAAAGTTAAGAGATTCAACTAAAACATTATTAAAATAAACACTTTCACCAAGGGAAAGATCGTATTTTTGCTGGTCTAAAGTGCATCTAAGAAGTCCTTTTAATGTTTGAACTCAACAATCTGTACTTTCTTCACAGAGGAAGGAAAATGCATGTGAAATGAATAGTTAAATTACAAATAAATATTTCTTCATTCAGAAGAAATATTATTTCCTAGTGATGTCTCTAACGAGATCTAGACCAAACTGGCTGATTTTTCTCCTTCTGGATGTACAAATATTAATGCTTTATGATTCCTTTCC